TCTGCTATATCTTCACCATTTATCACTTGTTAAGGGCTCTGTGGTCTAGTGGTCAGAGTTCCTGCCTACATATCCAGAGGTCCCAAGTTCGATTCCCACCTCTACCAGATTTTCTAAGAAGTAGTGGGTCTGGAACGGGGTCCACTCAATGTCATGAGGATAATTGAGGAGCTATCTCAAGGAAATAGTGGCTCTGGTTTAGAAAACCGAGATTAAAGGCCTTGGGGATCCATTGCACTCACCATGTGACACCCTATATCCGCAAAAGTTGGAACTATCTTCGCCGACAAGTGGCATCGCTCAGTGAGTATAGTTTGCTTGTGGACTACAGGCCACGGAGTTTGTTTAAGGGCTTCTCACACTGTAGCTTCCTCAGCTTCTGTGTTGACATCCTTACTGACTGGTTGCTGTCTCGCAACTAACTCCAACTAAGTGTCATCTCAAGACTACTAAACTCCAGTAGCTCTAGCTCTACTCAGCTCCACAACTCAGATTCATCTCGGTCAGTGATGTCAGTTATATAATGTCACCACAGAGGTAAATGTGACATGTTCCTCTGTTGCATGTGCAATCATTGTTACGCTGATAAGTCGTTTACTGTGCCGTTACCTAGTAATGGCTCTTTACCTGCTGCAATAAATCATAATTTTTAATGGTGTATATGTAAGTACATATACTAAATAATCTAAAAACACGTTTAATAACAACACACTCAACAAGCTTCACCTAATAATAATAATAATAATAATTAAGTAATATTGTTACAGATCACTACAAGTAAACAATCTATTGGGTGGTACACAGAATAACGAGCATAGGCACCACAAGACAGTAGCAAGGTCAAAACAAGACCTAAATTAGGAGAGAAGATCCCGATACACAGGCGCCCCACACTATAATTTCTTCTACCACTGGATAAGCATATCAACATGTAGCAATCATAAAGTTTTAAAGAGATTTATTGCAAAATACCTCATTTCTGTACAATTTTAATGTTAATTTTTAATTCTAAATTTTACTGCCTAAGTATTTATGTTTTAACCGAAAATTCAATTTATGCATTTAAAACTCACAAGAACACAGTATGGATCCATACTGAAATTAGATGCAATTCAAGAACTAGGACTAGTATCATTGTACGCCCGATGATGGCCCAATATAAGGCCCGAAACATGGAGCCTCAACAACAAAATAAACAAATATTGATACAATAGTGTCTATTTTGTTTATCACAAATATTGTTGTGTAGACTGCCCTCCAGTATACACATACATCCTATACAGAGTTTATATATTTGGGGATAACACCTAAAGATAAAAATTGCATTCATGAAGAAACTAAGAGCTATCATTCAGTTCAGAATCATTTGGTTCCTCTGCTGTCTGAATATGTAAAGACTAAAATATACAGAAGTATTGTTTTTTCTTTGGCTACAAAACTTGATCCCCTACATTAAGGGACAAACAGACAGGCTGTTTGGGAACAGGATGCTAAAAAAAATTTTGGAGTTAAGAAGCAAGAAGTAACAGGAGGCCGAAAAAAGGTGCATGGTGATGAGCTTCTTAACTTGTACTTCTCACCAGATATTATTATGCTGATGAAACCAAGGATCATTAAATTGGCAGGGCATGTAGCACACATGGGAGATAAGTAAAATGTTTGTAGGAAAGGCTGAAGAGACATCTAGGTATAGGTGGAAGGTTATATTAAAATGGATCTTAAATAAGTGGCATAAGAGGATTTGGATTGGATTTATCTGGCTCAGGTCCAAGGCTCTTATGAACACATTAATGATCCCTTTGATTCCATAAAAGCCTGTGAATTTCTTGGGTAGCCTATTAAATACAAAGATCAGATAAAAAGTAGTGGCAACACCTCTATAGTTCTGAAATGACTTTATTACCTGAGGTAAACACACTTACATTCCTTCAATATAATCGCCCCCCATGTGTACCACCTTCTGCCAAATGTGTGAAAGGCGTCATACACCATCAGTCCATCCACTTCTGTTGATGTCCAGCAGTGACCACCCTACAGCACGAATAATCTCTCTTGTGTCTTAACGTGTCCCTCGCAGTGGTTCTTTCATTTTGGCAAAGAGATCATAATCACACGTACTCATGTCGGTGAATATGGCAGATATTGCAGTATCTCCCATCGCCAGCTGCGAAGGAGATCCTTGACAGCGTCAGCAGTATGATCCCTTGCATTGTCATGAAGGATAATGGGGTTCATTGCCAACAAGTGTCGTCGCTTTCTCCTGAGTGCTGAACGAAGATGGTGATAAATAAATAAATAAATAAATAAAAGTAAAGTTATCCCTGTAACAGACCGTGAAGGCCCGTAGGGTTGTGAGATGTTGAGGGTCCCACATTCTCTAGACAATCGGCTCAAAGATGGCGGCAAAGTTACCCAGGAAATTGCAGTAGTAGGCAGCATTTACTGTCTGTCATTGAGGTAGTGTGGTGCAGTATCACTCCATCAGTGTCATATGCCACAATGAACATTGCCTTCACATTACTCTGTGTAGGGCACACTTTCTTTGGACGAGGTGAGCCAGGATGCTTCCATTCATTTGATTGTCGCTTCAAGTGCGATTCATATGAGCGAGCCCAAGTTTCGTCCAGAATGATGAACTTTCCAAGGAAGTTGTCACCTTCCCTCTGGTACCAATCCAACAAGTCCTGTGCAATTGCATAATGTTGCCATTGTTGCACCTTGGACATTGTATGGGGTACCCAGTGCACTGCAATTTTGCGGTATCCAAGAATACTGTGCAGAATGTGGAGCACGGTTTTGTGACATACGCCTACCTCAGCAGCTGACCCCTGTGCAGCCCATCGATGATCAACATCCAGTAACGAAGCAAGGATCTGAATTGTATGGTTGTCAGCATGGGGTCATCCTGAACAATGGCTGTCCTGAATGGCATCCCTCCCTTCATGGAACCCTTTCACTTATCGTACCACTGTGCAATATGGCAAAGCAGCATCACCACATGCTTCTCGCAGTTTTGTGCACCACGACCTCGTGCAACTTCAGTTTTTATCCAGGAGGTTGTTCTTGTTTCGTAAACATGTTGTTAGGGTGCTTGAACTGGGCTCCTGCACTTCAAGACGATGCACACTGCAACTCAATGAAACACAACCAGAGCCACTCACTGCATTACTTCAACTGAACTTCTGCTATCAGCTACAGACAGCGCTAGTGCCACCTGCCGCACATCTTTCATGTTACAGCAGTGTTGCCATTACTTTTTATCCAACCCTTGTATTAGCTTTTCAAGAAAGATTAATTCAAATGGTGCTCCGTTTAAGTCTCAGCTGGGACACCAGCTATCCTGACTGAGGTTTTTTCATGGTTTTCCTAAGTCCATCCAGATAAATGCCATGATAATACCTTGAATAGGCTGTGGCTGCTTCTTTGCAAATCCTTTCAGTTTCGTCATTCATATGTCATTCAATGCTCTATAGTGCTGATGCTGAAAGCATCCTTAAATAACCCACAAAGAAAAAAAGAAAGATTCTGCTTTGTGTATGTTAGAAATCAGCAGTGTTATTTATGCTTGGAAACTGTTTGCAGTAAAGTTGCACTGTAGCACTTCTACATCAATGATAGAGAGACAAATGTGACTTTCATCTCTCCAGACCAACTGATTTCCTTTATAAGAGAATTGTAAGGTTGCAGCGCTGTTAATACTGATACCTTGCATTGTATCATCTCTTGAAACAGTTGATCTGGTTCATATTTTCACATCCTATTTTCTTAAGCTAATTTTATAATATTCTGATGTGGATGGCATAGTGGGAGGTGGGGGTCACGTGAACTCTGTGATCTCGCAAATGACGCCACATACCTCCACTCCGTCCATCAGTGTGCAATGCTCGGTAGACACCTCTTTCCCCATGGTGATGTAACACGGGACGCCACAGTTGCTATGTAGCCGTAAACAAATCCCGGCAGCGCTGCCTAGCAACGTCTTTGTAAACACAGCGGGGAGTCCGTGCAATGACTGTTCCTAGGCAGTCAGTAAACACGACGTTACACAACAGTGGTGCCTATTACGTAACTGTTTTCTGTGTTGTCCGTAACGGGACTAAATAAGGAGCAGCGAACACTATTCAACGGAGAGTTACGAGTTAGCCAGAGAGTCAGTCACCAGTTAATTGCAGTCTAGTATTTGTGATGCTGCCAATGGCAGTAATGTTGAGATTGTAAATGGTGTGATTGTAAGAGTGAATGTGCAATAAATTCGCTATATTCAATACAGCGTGAAGTTATTTGTCGCATTATACACCCAGCACGTGACAATATTATTCTTCTGTCTTCTCCTGGTCTTCTGTTATCATCATTCTTTCCAGTGTTAGGCTTATTCAGATGTGAGATAGGTATTACAAACAGAATTCTTCCATCATTTCAGAGGTCTTCCCAGACTCCCTTTTTTCCTTTTTTGGATCCTTTTTGTAGCTTATCCTATCTACACAGTCTTTCCAATTTCTTCACTGTCATTCTAGAAATCCTGTTATTTTTGGAATTTGTAGTTCCATTGTAATTGCTTTGCTTCTTTTACAGTCCAAAAGGCTATATCCACGGCCCTTCTCATGAAACACATTTCTGCTTATATTAGTCATATCTAAACAGTTCTTATTTTCCATGATTGACTGCAGTAAGATAAGCTTGTTTCGTAAGTGCCAGACCTCTTTATATAATACCTTGAAAACAATTGAAAGTCCTTCCGATTGGTTGCCAGACAAGGAGCACAGGTTCAATGGTAGTGCGTCTCTGGGCAGGCTGTATGTGCCACCATTTCCTCCAGTGTTGATATGACTGTTATCCTGCTGGAACTTGGCTGCCAGAGCCTCTTCCGTGAAAGCAGGATATGCCATCGAAAGGCAAGGTTGACAGTCGAATAAGAAAGTCTGTAAGGAGTTGCATTCTACCTCTTATAATCCCTTGGTTTTCCATTTTTTAATAAACTGTTTGCTTTTATGTGCTTCCAGCAGAAGGAGTGGATGATCATCAGTTAAAGCTAGCAATCCAGCTGTCTTTGCAAGAAACAACAAAACGAATTGCTAAAAGTACCTCAGCAGACCCAACAATTGGAAGTAGTGTTTGTTCTGAAGAAGAAAGCTCGTCAGATGGAAATTTAGTTACAGATGTTGCTCCCAAAGTGGATGATGATGATGATGAAAATACAGACCTCACCTCATTGATCTACCACAAAACCAGTGCTGACTTGACAGTGGATTACTTCCTCAAGAGTTTAGCTGGACGTCAAATTGACGTTAAGAATCTGAACCCTGGCCCAAACTTGTTTTCACCAGATGATGGCATTGAAGGAAGTGATGTTATCTGGGGTTGTGGTGTTAGCAAGACTCTTGCCGACAAAGAGTTATTGATTGGTTGTGGCTTCAAGCCCTGCATTGCAGAGGATGGACGGTTTGAAATTGGAGATATCCATGAAAATGGATGTTTCAATGATGTTGATGAATATGATGAGAAAAATTCACATCTCCTTAAGCGATCCCATTCAACAGGAGATCTGTGCACTCGGGGTCGGCGGGGACCCATGCATGGTGGAGTTGTTGGCGCTGGTGATGAACCAAGGTGAGTTTTGTTGTATACGTACACATCATTAACTAACCAATCTATCAGCCTGCTAATTAATTACCTTTAATGGCTGGTTACTGATTATAAAATTCCAGGACACATTTCATTGTACATCAGTAACATGGACCCGTAATGGTAGGTTGGTTCTCATCCTGAGGTAGGGCTGTAAAGGGTACTCCTAGGTGCCATTTCTTGATTCATCTAAATCATTCTGTAATCATCTTTTTCTTCATCCTGACTGACCCTCTCTGCATGCTAAATACCTACTGCAGCATTCCCATATCCATCATCTCATCTATATGTTGATATTGCCACATCTGTTCATGTTTACCAGAGGAGTTTTCATTTTCTTCCTAATCTATGGTTATTTGCTTCTTAGTGTTTAAGGTCCTGTACAGTTATGAGCTCACGTCTCAACTGCAGGAACCCTTCTTGCCTCCATGGTGCTTTCCCACCATCTCAGCCTACTTCCAACATGTTTTTCTGCATGGGAAACTCAAAATATGAAGGTTGACATGGCCTGTCTGACTGCCTCTATATACAAATCTAAGTTCAGAGCCCAAATCACGTGCTGCACAGCAACATGCCACATTCAGGGCCCAGATGGCATAACCACTTGGTTGTATGACTGTTGGTTTGTCTGTGTCATTCTGATATATCACTGACTGATAGCTGCAGTGTGGTCAACCACAGGCCCCCGAAGTCATATAGGCCTGCATGTGTATGTGCATGTGTATACATGTGTGTACATATTGTAACGTGTTTTCGTTACTGATCCCACTTCTGACACCAATGTAACGTGTTTGCGTTACCGAAGACGCCGTAGAGATGGTTAACTGGTTTATTTAACAATCTACAAGTAACGGCTACAATTGCTTATTACACAGTTGCGGGGTTTCACACTTTATAACCCTAATCGCATTAATCTGTCGACACTGTTGCGGGGTTTCACGACTTATAACCCTATGCGCAAATCAGTTCGCTCTGTCTTCAGTAGTCTACACGTTGACAGTAGGGGAGCTAGGTATCACTGTATCACACGCTCCCAATTACACAATTACACACACGTCCGGATCTTCTTTCCGCGACGGCTGCTATACTCCAACTTGTAGTCGGCTGGCTGTTACTTTATAACTCGGAATGTCTTCGGCGGTAGCCACACTGGAACTCGAACTCGANCATTTCTTGATTCATCTAAATCATTCTGTAATCATCTTTTTCTTCATCCTGACTGACCCTCTCTGCATGCTAAATACCTACTGCAGCATTCCCATATCCATCATCTCATCTATATGTTGATATTGCCACATCTGTTCATGTTTACCAGAGGAGTTTTCATTTTCTTCCTAATCTATGGTTATTTGCTTCTTAGTGTTTAAGGTCCTGTACAGTTATGAGCTCACGTCTCAACTGCAGGAACCCTTCTTGCCTCCATGGTGCTTTCCCACCATCTCAGCCTACTTCCAACATGTTTTTCTGCATGGGAAACTCAAAATATGAAGGTTGACATGGCCTGTCTGACTGCCTCTATATACAAATCTAAGTTCAGAGCCCAAATCACGTGCTGCACAGCAACATGCCACATTCAGGGCCCAGATGGCATAACCACTTGGTTGTATGACTGTTGGTTTGTCTGTGTCATTCTGATATATCACTGACTGATAGCTGCAGTGTGGTCAACCACAGGCCCCCGAAGTCATATAGGCCTGCATGTGTATGTGCATGTGTATACATGTGTGTACATATGCATGACTGAGTGGGAAACCCGTGTGCTGTTATTCCCATGGAAAGGACATAGAGATGCAGTTCGACACTGGTGTAGGACTTCTTTCTGGGTTTGGATTTTTTGCTGATGTCCTAGAAGAATAAATCCTCTGAGGTTTTTCTTGGGGTCAGGTCATGGCAGAGGTCCCCCCACTTCCACATACCAGAGGATTTAGGTGTCTGTCTCGTCCCAGTAGCACGCCGACATCGATGGTTCTAGAGGGAGTCCCATTTCATCTTGGCTCCACACCCAATAAACTTTGTGTTACAAGAATACTTTGATGTGGACATCAAAAATGTAATCTGAAATCGTTACTGTGAATATGTTGGCCTCATGATTTATTACATTTAAACTGAAGAAATAAAGAAGTGTATGATCCATAATTCTGTGTTACATTCAAAAGTCCCATGATAATGTCCCTGGAAAGGTTAGGAATGCAACACATTTGATAAAGGGTTCAGCAAGAAGCAGGCTGAGACCCTCTTTAAGGCTAATCTTCTTGGTTTCCACCTTGTGAATATCTCTCAGCTGATACTGGGGAGTAGTGACGGCTAACTCCCTTGATGGGTCAGATGAGATGCAGTTGCCACTTGCAGATAGGTTTGTTTCAGGGGCACATTAATTAATCAAGAAGAAGGATGGCAAACCATTCCATTTTTGAACGGTATTTTGAACATTTCAAACTGCAAACCTTCCCAGCGCAGTAGAGTTTGGGTATGAGCAAGTGTCAGTCTGCACCTACATTCAGAACCCTATGCTGTGTTTCTTAGGGGTCGGCTGCCACACTTCTTATTGAGCTTTCTCCAGGATGTCTTCTCTGCTCTTTATCGACAAAACTATGCATACACTTCACACAGTTGAGAGGTGTACAACCCCACCCAAATTGCTCTTCAGCGATAGCACTCTGCCAGATCCTTTTCCCGGCAGCAGACTTTTGTGGAAACCGCACTTGTGATGGCTCTGTGTTAAGTCCCAATGGTCACTTGACATCTTAAAAGTCTTTATGTGACAGGTCTTGGGACAGAGACCAGACAGTGATGTTTAATCTTTACCATTTCTTGATCTGCTCTGAGGTGGACTATGGCATTTTCATTTATGACTCTGAAACAAAGTCTAACCTGTGCATCCCAGACCATATCCACATCGCCGAGATTCACCTTGCCACTGATGCCTTCTGCACTAGCCCTTTGAAGAGTCCATATTTGGAATCTGAAGAACCTCCACTCTCCCTATGGTAGAACCTTCTTTCTCTGCAGTTTTGTGATAAAGTTGTTAACTCAGCCACGTCACTTATCATACGGTGTGGTCTTTCACTCCACCCACTGCAACAGGTATGAGTTGAATACTGTGCCTTGACATCTACTTGCCACATATTATTCCCAGTAGACTCCCATATCCCACCTTCGTCACCCATACATCCAACTTGTGGCAACTTTCAACTCGTCAGACATGTGAGAGGCAAAAAATCTACACTTACATATCTCTAGCTTTTGCTGAGCTCATCTTCACTCATCCAGGCAACAGTTTTATATTGATGGGTCATGTCTTCGTGTATGAAGGTCAAGTTTTAAAATACTGCCTGCACAGCTCTATTGGTGTGTATACAGCCAATCTTTATGTCCTCTTCTAAGCTCTTCTGTTCATTCGGCATCACTCTTGGCAATATTACCTTCTTTGTGCAGACTCCCCAATTGCAGTCTTCAAGGGCACATGCCGAACCATCCATTCATTTAGGAGAATATGCAGCAAGTTGAATTTTGTTGGGTATCTGTTTGCCCAGGTCTGCCAGGGAATGACACTGCAGATTTTGCCACTTTGCTCAGAAATTTCAAATCAGACTGAGCCTTAGCTAGTGATGTTCTTTCCTGTGTTTATTGTGTTATATCATACTGTGACATGACAGCTGAAAGGTAGAACAGTTTAACAAGAAGGGTCATCCATTGCTATGCAACAGTCATTAAATATGCTCCCACAGCAACAGATACTACACGCAGCAATAGAAGAACTGGTGGACACACTGTTTTCTATGTGGTCCTTGCCAAAGCTTTATAACCACCCAACTCGAGAGAGTTGTGAGGCAGTCACCAGCCAGTAAGGACATGAGCACAGCAGCATCTAGTGGAGACATAGAAGCCTTAATGTTTGAAGCAATGATTTCCAAAGTGTGTAAAACAGTGACTAACTATTCTCATGTATCAGGGTTAGCATGGTAAATAATAATGGGTTCTGGATTCGATGATTGGATCTATTGATACTTCTTTACAATTACAACCAATTATGACAGCTCACAATCAATGACTGTCTACAGCTCGGTCCATTCCCTACTGGACTATGAGTGTCTTCTCTTCCACTGTGACGAATTACAAATAAAGAAATCCTGCTCACACATTGAACTCCCTTCTAAATGATGTCTGACTAAATCCTCATACAAATTAATTATGACTCTTTTTTAACTTCCAGGCAACCCGAATAGAGGCCACCACCTTGAATAGTTCATTTTGTTATTATTTGTGCTTTGTCCGTTACTCCAAAATGTAGCAATCTGTTACTAAGCAACAGAAGTCCCACTGTTGACTGTGTAACGTCGAGAATTTGTTTACTGAAGCATTATCTGGCAATGGATTATTCCAGCTTTCAGGCATCGTATCACACCATTTGCAGTTACGAGTTATAAGTGTTTCATAAATCCAATTATCAATGTGAACCCTATTTATAGTCACTAACACAGGACAATTTTTATTGAATCTTTTTCCTAGCAGTAAATCATATTGTAGCTGATACAGGTCTGTTTTTAATTTTATAATGGGTTAAAGAAAAGGTCATCTAGTTTGATTTATATGCAGGTGCATACAGCCATGGATGCTGAAACACCTCTAACCCCCTCCCTCTCTCTCTCATATGGACTGTAGGACAATGACGTTGGCAACCATTGTTTGCACTGCAACACAGGTAAAGCAAGTGACTGTCTGGGGTGATACAGTTCTAGGGTTGGCATGTTTTACAAACTTTTTCTTCCTTTCTTTTTGTTAAACGAACATTAATTTCTGCTGGTCTTTTTTTATATCATGACTGTTAACTGGCAGAAAGCTGAACATCAGTGTAAATAAAACAGTTTTACTCGTAATATACTTATGACACCAATGATGTTTTTCATCACAGTGTCTGGAAAAATGTCTGGTTTTTAGAAAGACAATCAGTTTTTATTGGGAGGGAAAGCTTCCTGTCACCTAGGGCAGCATTCAGGCTTGCACTGGCCCCTTTTGGCAGCTGTTTCCAACATCATCTATACAGAAAGGAACTTGCTATTTTTGTATCAATAGTGAGAAAAGTGCTGGTTTGTGTGCCTATGTACATATCAGTCCACACTGTGGAATGCCCAACATTACAGAACAGTGTGTGCATCATATTCTGTAGGAAGCTTCAGAAGTTGGCCAGAGGCCTACTTACTCATGGAGCTGAGCCCTTCTGGAGAAGCCGCCAATTCTGCAGCTACTCAAGAATTTCCCAGCATTTTATGGAACCTGAAGGTTCATTACCATGTTCACAAGAACCCTCCACTGGTCCCTGTCCTGAGCCAGATCAATCCAATCAATACCAACCTATCCTATCTCCTAAGATCCATTTTAATATTGTCCACCCACCCATGCCTTGGTCTTCCCAGTGGTCTTTTTCCTTCTGGCTTTCCCACCAATATCCTATATGCATTCCTCATCTCCCCCATTCGTGCTACATGCCCTGCCCACCTCATCCTCCTTGACTTGATCATTCTAATTATACTTGGAGAAGAGTACAAGTTATGAAGCTCCTAATTATGCAGTTTTCTCCAACTTCCCATCACTTTGTCTCTTTTCGGTCCAAATAATCTCCTAAACACCCTCAGTCTATATTCCTCCCTTAATGTCAGAGACCAAATTTTACACCCATACAGAACCACAGGCAAAATTATAATTTTGTATATTCTAATTTTTATGTTCTTGGATAGCAGACAGGAAGACAAAAGGTTCTGAACTGAATAGTAGCAAGCATTACCAGAGTCCAATCTCCTCTTAATTTCCTCCTGAATCAGGTTTCAGTCTGTTATTGTTGTTCCCAAATATTTGAATTGTGCCACATTTTCTAAACTTCTGTTTCCTATCTTGATATCATGATTTTGCCCTGCATTTTGGTGATGAAACAGCAGCATATATGTAGTTTTCTCAGTGTTTACTTCTAGAACAACCTCTTTACTTGTGTCAATTAAAGTTTGTGTGTTTTTCTTTGTGGTATCTACATTATCACCCAGTAGATTCACATCATTAGCATAGGCCAACAGCTGATGTGTCCCGTTTAATTTCAGTCCCACCTGGTTTCCATGGACATTCCTAATGGCATATTCTAAAGCAAAGTTGAAAAGGAGTGGTGATAAAGCATCTCCTTGTTTTAGACCATTCTGCATAGGAAATTTATCAGACAACTGTTTACCTACATGGACTTTACTATACGTTTCGTTTGAACACATTTTAATCAACCTAACTAGTTTCATGGGTAACCCAAACTCTATCAGAATATTGTACAATACTTCCCTCCTAACTGAATCATAGGCTTTCTTGAAGTCTATGAATAGCTGATGTGCTCTCTCATCATACTCCCATTTTTTCTCCAATATCTGACGAATGCAAGAGATCTGATCTGTAGTTGATCTGTTACATTGAAACCCACACTGATGATCCCCAATAATTTAATCTATATGTGGGCTTAACCTTGAGAGAAGCATATTGGATCAAATTTTATATGAAGTTGATAGCAGTGATATCCCTCGAGAATTACTACAGTCAGTTTTATCACCCGTCTTGTGAACTGGTACAATAATAGACTCCTTCCACTGATCAGACAATTTTTCCTTATGCCAAATAAAAGTAATTGGATTGTGGGTCTTAGAATGTAATATTTCACCTCATGCTTGAATAAGTTCTGCCAGAATTTGATCACTACTTGGCGATTTATACCATTTCAATTTCGCAATAGCACTTTCAACCTCAAAATGGTTAGGATCAGGTACTAACGGCTCAGCTGTATGGATTTCTGTCTGCCTAACATTACTGACCCTATGTACATTCAATAACTGAGAGAAGTAGTTCCTCCAGCTATTCAAAATGTTGTGCGAATCTGCAAGGAGATCACCATTGTCATCCTTCACTAAGTTACTGCTAGGCTGGTAACCCCTCTTAAAGTCATTTATTCCTCTATACAGGTCTCTAATGTTTTTGTTCTTACTGTCCATTGCAAGCTCATCAATTTTGTCTTTCAGATATTCCCTCCTTTTGTTCCTGAAATACCTGCTGGTTTCACTTCTTATATTGTTCAGATTATCCCCATTTAACTTGCTTGGATCCTGTAACCATTGCAATTTGGCCTGCTTTCTTTGATGTAATAATTTTGAGCATCCTTCATCAAACCATGGCTTGTGCTTCTTCAGTTCATAATAACCTAGACTCTCTATGGCAGACATTTTTATATTCTCTCTAATAGTTTCCCAAGCTTTATTAACATCCATCTCAGTTTCCAAGTTTTCTAAAGCCACGAACCTATTTGAGATTTCAACACAATACTGCTCCTTACCCTCTACCTCATTTAATTTCTTGAGATTGAACCTCTCCATATAAACTCTGTGTGTTGTTTATTTGCTCACTACCAGTCTTTCCCTAACCTTTGCCACCACCAGGTAGTGGTCAGTATCACAATCTGCTGCTCTGAATGATCAGACATCGAGTATACTTGAATGTCGTCTTCTGTCTATAAAAATGTGGTCAATTTGATTGTGTATCTTCCCATCAGGAGCTGTCCAAGTAAATTTATGCATATTACGATGTGAGAACATTGTACTTTTGACAGTAAGATTTTTTGATGTGGCAAAGTTTACTGCTCTAACTCCATTATCATTACTAATTTCATGAAAACTCTCATTCCAATCATTGGTTTGAAAATGTCTTCCCTCCCTACTTTGGCATTGAAATCTTCTAACAAAATTTTCATAGGGTAATTCGGGAATTTATCAAATAGATGTTCTAGTTCTTCATAGAATCTCTCCTTTATGTCATCAATTTTATCTTCTGTTGGGGCGTGAACATTCATAACAATGATATCACACCAGCGACCTTTTAGTATTGTATATGATATCCTATCACTAACAAACTCTACCCTCTTAACTGCTGATACGATTCTCTTATGTACGAGAAAACCTGTACCTAGGAGTAATTCATGATTTTCATTCCCCTTTCCATAGAAAAATGCATAGTCTCCTGCTGGTATGATGCCACCTGCATCCCATCTGACCTCCTGTACTCCCACTAAATCTAGCTTATATTTTAAGATTTCTTCTGCCACTGCCCTGAGCGAACCTGCCCTATAAAAACTTCGAACATTCCAAGTGCAAATACAAATCCATTTTCTTTAGCTTAGGTCATTTATCCAAGGAATCCATCCAGGTCTGAGGCTTTGTGTTCATTTTCGTAACATACTTATTTTTTACGGTGAGTAGTTGTTGGCCCCACACCAAACCCACAAGCTGGAGGGCCACCCCTTGTCGGCTGTCTGATACTGCTTATTCAATATATTCACAGCTTCCCTCCAAAGCAGAGGGTGTCTCCTCCATCCACAACCTGAGGACGTATCATGCCTTGGTGACAAGGGACCCACCTAACATGGCACAGAGGCCTACAAAATGAATAAATCTGCATTTAAAGAAAACACTTTCAGCTGCAGTAGATCATTCAAGTGGTTCCAAGCAGAACACAAAAGTCGAAATCTGTTTCCTTGTTGTTTAAATTTCTAGCCATACAAACCTTTTACTTTTATGAATGCTATTTTATTTTAATTTATATAAAAAAACTTGTTACTTAATCACAGGTTCTGTCTGTGCTAAATTTGTTGGATATGTCCTTGAAATTCTGCACCATCACCACATTTGTAATTGTTTGAGTTATAACAGTATTTCATTTATATTTACATATATTTTCACTTCATGGATCCAATCACCTCCCCTTAGGGCTGGATATAAAACATGTCACACTTTACAAATTCATGATGACTACACATCATACGTCCTTGGTCCAATGAAATATGTAATCAGGCCTCATGCAGACAGCACAAGTTATCAAGACAACACACATAGGCCATGGAAAAACCACTGTCACATTCAACCCTGAACAAAATCCCTAATATTTCCAACCATAACAACTCTATGCTGCCCAATTGCGCACCTGGCCATTCCACACACATATTGGCCAGCCGTATCATACATATTCTGTAGTTGTGTTTATTTCTCTCTAGAAACCTAATTTCACATGTTTATCTCAAGTGTTTCCATAGTTATTGGCTTCAAACACAAACTAAAGAGAATTCTTGCACAGCCACTATGTTGTTGGATTACATGCATATGTATAAAAATATGTCTTTAACCAAAATAGCATATTTTTCTAATACCTATTACTGTCCTTCATTGCTGACCCTTAATTATGTGCTGCTGGTATCACTTGTTTGTCACAGATTTGGACATCCTTCCTCCAGGCTGTAACGTACTTCAGTTTCTTACAGTTACTGACTTGATTCTGATCACAGCATTCAGCATGAAGAGAAGCCTGAAGACATTTCTGGATGAGAGTGGCTTCTCTTCTTTCCTCCTGAATTATAGGTCCTGCCCAACATAACGTTTCTTAATTCCTTGCAGGTACCACCTAGATTCCGATCACAGCAGTCAGCATGAAGAGAAGCCTGAAGACATTGCAAAGAGAATACTGGCTTTTCCTGCAGCTGCTTCATTTGGAAAATCCATGTCTGGGAGACACTTCCTTCTGCTTCATCATCACAGTGGTGGTAGCAATGGGAATGCAGGGGGAGAGGCATCTCTTGCCAACTCAGAGGATGGTGCCAGCATCTACTATGGTGGCCAGTCATCTGTTGAGGACACAACTACCACTTCTGATTCCCTCAATGCAGATTTGGAAGTCTGTGGAATTTTGGGTATATACATCTGTTGTTAATCAGAAGGCAGTTGTACAGTTTTTATATTGAATTTTCTCATTTTGATCGACTTTCAGTATTTTGTTTTATCATAATCTTGATTCCTCATCTGATATTGTTATGGTGATCAGATCAGAGAGGATGAGATAGGTGGGGCATACGGTACACATGAAAAAGAAGAGAAATGCTAGGTGATTCTAAATTATTGTCAGGGTTTCCATGGCCTATAATTTTCAAATCAGAAAAAAAACAAAGAAAACTCCTTATGAAATATGAAAGTTTAACTCAAGAAGTTTTATTTCCTTTAGAATCAATACTGCAGAATGCTAAACAACTTTAGTATGCACACCTTTCATGGCATGTGAGATGTCCAAGTGGTATTCATTTTCCCTCCAAGTGTTCTCCAGAATTTGCGGTGTAACCATCTCAACTGCAGCAACAATTCTGAGCTACAGTTCATTGAGGGAAATCACAGGAGTCTTGTAAACAATGTCCGTAACATATCCCCACACGAAGAAATAAAGCAGCATAACATCAGGTGAGCCTGGAAGCCACGGAATTGGTCCATCCTACCCAACCCAGTGCCCAGGAAAATGAATGTTAAGAAATTCTCGAATGATACAAGCAGTTTTATTTTGAAAATTGTAGGCCATGAAAACCCCGACAGTAATTTAGAATCACGTTGTACATACAAGGTGAGAAAGCTTGGAGGAAGTATATCACTTGGAAGAGGTGTACATGAGATGATAATGAATTGAAACTAAAAGAACTAGGTGGGAGAATATGAACTGAATTTATTTGGCTTCTAGTAGGGGGCAGTGCTGGATTCTTGTGAATACAGTAGTAAACTTTTGGGTTCCATAAAATGCTAGGAATTTCTTGAGACACTGTGCAATTACTGGCCTTTTAGGAAGGATTCAGCTCTGTAAAGTTTGTGAGTTAATTGGTTTGGCAGTTGGCTGGTTGTAGAAATGATCAATCTAGTTGGGCAGACAAACATAACCTCCCTATTCTGCATTTCGGGTACTTAATACTGTTTGTGCGAAGACAGTTTGTCTCCATGCATATCTTGAACTTGTTGCTAGATATATGAATCTGCATTGTGCAATACAGCTGGTAGATTACATATGATAACAGATAGTAGTTCAGCTTATTGTTTGCAGGAACCACGACAGAAGATGATGAGGAAGGGAAAGGTTATATTGAGGATGAAAGCAGTGGTGCCAACTCAAGTAGCACAGACAGAAATTCATTTTCGGAACGTGAAATAAAGCCCACACTCAGCTTGGATAAGAGTAGTGTTTTAGATACGGAAGTTAAAAGAGGTAAAGATGTAGGATTAATGAGTGGACCATCAAATGTCTCTTCTTTGAAGTCATCAGCTGCAAATTCTTTGCTTGAAGCCCACCGGAAAGCATTCAAATACACAGGAGGCAAAGCTGGAGGTGGAAGTGGATCAACAGGCTTGCGTATCCGTATTTGTAAGTACCCTAATAATGCCAATGTTTCTGGGACCATCATAACCAACACTAATAATGGGCGCCAGTTGGAGACAGACAGTTCAAATGAGTATGAGTCTGAAACAGGTATACCAAAATCACCTACACTGTTTATTAGTGGTGTTTCTATCAGTCGTACCCCTGAACCAAGGTCTCCTGCAATTGTAACCACATCTTCTGGTATCACAACAAACTGTTCTGTAGGCCGTCAGTCCCGCTCGTCCAGTCTCACTGTTCCGCCACCCATACCTTTAGCACCTCCTCTGTCAACTGCTATCCTTGGATCCTCAAGCACGTCCCTGAACAATACCACCACAACTGTTCATTCAGCATCACCAGAACCTCAGCCTTCACTGATGCTGAAATCCTCCAGTCCTGTGAACTTGAATTCAGTTTGTGCAACTGTAACAAGTAACAATGTCGTCATTACTCCTCCACCTCTGCCGCCCCTTCTCCCTTCACCAGGCTCCCCTGTAAGCATTTCTAGTCCCCGTTCAGGTGCCCCATCTCCAATTTTAACATCAGGAAATGGAAGCTCTATAGGTATCTCATCTAGTACCACTCAGCCTTCTAGTACCACTACAACAAAATCAAAATCAGCAAGTGAACCAGAAAGAGAAAGAGAAATGTTTCGGTTTCCGAAATCATCGACTGATGGTGCATTAAGCTCAGTGCTTCACGTTCAAGAATCTAATCTAAGTTCAGACGATTTTCATGAAGCCTTGTTCCTTCTGGAGCGCTCACCAAAAGGTGGTGGTGGTTCCTCTAAGCGGCGGAAGAAGTCGAAGAAAGAACGCCACAAGGATAAGGAAAACAGCAATGGTACAGCAAGTTGTTCAAGTAAGGTGAAGGAAATAACAGAACCCAGCTCTGCCTTATAAGGTAAGAGGATGTATCATGTTGAGTTACTTTACACACCCAAGTTGCAAGGACTTGATGAGGAGACTGTATGTTGTCCTTGTGTCAAAACATCACTTGAAGTTAGAATTTAATCCAATCTGTGACTGTCCAGTGAGACTTTTTACAAGTAAAATAGCAGTCAGTACTTGGCAATAATATGTAGCAGTAGAATTGAATCCACTGTGTGAGACAGTCCAGTGAGACTCATAGCAGACAGTGGTGGTCCATACTTGATAATCACATCTCACTTGTAACAGTAGCATTTAATCCATTGTGTGGGGCTGTCTGCCAAGATTGACGACAGGTGTTGGCTGTACATGTTTCACTAGTCATTTCCAGGTGGCAGGGAGGTAGCTTGTTGCACTTGTTTACTATCAATATACAGTTTCTTTGTGTTTCTGTTCTTTGATAAGTAAACACATGCACTAATGGTGTGTACAAATGAGTTCGTAAGAGCTATACTGTAGAATTAATAGGCCCCACAGTGCACACCAGTAGCTCATTTAAATGCCACACACGGGATTAAATTACACAAATCAGTGCATTTCAGAACTTAACCTATATGAATCAAACTGTAGAATGTTTAGGAAATGACATGAAAGGAAGTGGCCATGGTCTGTATCAAGATACTGTTCTGGGACTTGCCTGCAGGGGCTGAGGAAACCCACAGAAGACCCCAGTCAGGATGGTGTGCTGGCTGAGATCTGAAAGAGGGCCCTCTTGAATTAAGCACTTTTTTCCAAAAACGTTAGCATACATCATTACTGAAATTTCACAGCACGGACTTTAGTTCTTGACATTGCAGGACCAAGTTCTTGTTAAGTTCAAGACAGTGTTAGCTGTTTGAAATGTTAAGATGACCAATAGCACTTCAGTAAACATGTTTTACTTTTAGAGGATAAAAGAAAACCTCTATCTTTCTGTGATTTGTTATTAACTCTGCCTTCTCATCCATATTTTATCACCAACATACATCAAAACATTATCATATTTTTTTTATTCCATTCTTCCATTGAACAGATATGAAGTTGGCTTTACATCTCACTTCGAACCTTAGCATTTTTGTAGAGGTATAGCTCCACACACTTTTAATCTTCAGGAGAGTAGTTAGTTGCACACCCTGGTCACTACCACTGGGAGGAAGAGCCCCCCAGTATTCATTGGATAGGACACAGGATGACCAAAAAGCCAGTCTGGATGCAAGCACAAAGAGAAAAATCACTGCCCCTGCTGAGAATTTAACCCCAAGTTCCCCAGTTGTCCTACTTGTGGCCTAGTCACTACGCTTACCTGCCATTAAAAGGCTATATTCATGTCATTAATCAGTAGACCTTCCTGAGTTTACTGCAAATAATCGTTTTTGTAGAAAATTTCCATAAGCTAGGTACAATAAAGGAAACATTAATTCATGTAATTATGTTAGTATCTGAGATGGACTGATTGTAGCTGTGAGTAAACTGTACTGCCATATGCTGCATCTTTGTTACTTTGCATCTTATTTGTCTGGTGTCTGTTGTGAACATTGAAATTTGAGAAACAATTGATTATAATGTATTTATATTAAATTATAGTAGCAGATACTGAAACTATAAAGTTACTCTCATAACTCTTTCACTGTTCCAATTTTATATAACAGCTGTCTGCACTGTACAATGACGGAAATGAACAGATCACTTGAGATTATAATCTTCTTGGATGTGACGCCATGCAGTGTGGTAATATGACGGTAACAAGCTCAAATACCAGTCCAGGCAACAAGAATTCCCCCACCCCACCCCCACACATTTAAAAACAGATTAACTTTCTTAAGACTTCATAACAATTAATAGCATGAAATTTCTTGACTCTGTGATGTAAACTGACATTGGTATCATAACTCTTAAAATATAAACTTAATTAGCATGAAAGAACAGCAGAAATGTTTTCATTTTACAAAACATCTAGGAAACAGGCTAATAAACTGTGCTGCCCAAACTGGCATTTCAGCTTGCCTGTGCTTGGTAGATAGGTACCAGCACTGTGTAGGAATCTGCTGATTCCCTCTTATAACCTGAACACGGAGGTATGAGATGTTCATATCCATTTACCAACCTCTGCAGTATCATATCACAGGAGCCCATGATCTTGAAATCGACTGCTGTGAGAACCTCAGATCTCTCAAAGTAACCAATTCTTGGTATTCATTTCTTCACTATACCTAACTGCAAACAAAAATACAAAGAAGTTTACTGTCTTCTGGACTGTGATATCATGTAGTCCGCTGGAATGTCATGGTAACGTTCTACCAGATTGCACGGTGTCACAACTCGGAAGACCATAACCGTCTTAGTCACTGATGTAAAAGCTGAATCTCGATAACTGTAAGGAGGAATATCTCCTGGTTATGATGGGAAGCCTGTGTCATTGGTTGCATGTGTGAGCAATATTGCAGAATGGAAACTGCAGGTAGTACTTAACACAATATGGACAGTGCATATGGCTCAAGGATGTACCCATGTTGACATTGAAAGGGTTAATCTTGCCCCTCCTGCAGTCTGACACACTGTAAGGGGCTAGGGTATACGAAAAGCATGGTAACCTATGAACTGAAGTCACTTTTGTTCCATGCCAGTGGTTCTGAACTTGTGGTACATGCAGTTCTGAATCAGGAGGTATGTGAATACCCATAAGTGGGTATGTGAAATATATTTTGTACATTGTTGAACACAGGTTGAAAGGCCGTGAAAGACTTCTTGATGTCTTTCTTTTGTAGAACTTTTTCTGTGCATGGTATAAATAAAATTTATTGTGACTTTTGTCATGTTTAAATGCATGATATCACCGAAATAAAAATTGAGTCTGAGCTGAAAAGGGTAGGGGAACATGAGATATAGTGAAACAGAAAATTGCTTTTTCATAAACCTCAAACAAACATATTCCATATATTTTGTTGAAATAATTTTTTTACATGAAGTACAGCACATTGATAGTTCACAGCAGACTTCATTAGAAATTAAAAATGGGTATGTAGATAACTTTTATTTTTATGACAGAACTGCTGTAGGATGTACTATCTACTGACAGTTTCTGTGACTGTGTCATGCTTTGTATCAGCATGTGCATATCTCACTGAAACAAATCAGTCGTGTTGAACGTATCATGATGCATATTGTCGCGATTTGTACCAATGTGTATGTATGGGGCCCTTAAGTGAAGTTTCATTCTGAGACCAAGGAGTACATTGACTGAAAAGGGTTCAGGAATGCTGCTCTGTACTGTCATACTCAATTACCAGTAGTGCGCAGCTGTTTTGTGATTTCAGTGTTAGCTAACTGGAACATGAATAAACTCTTCTCATCACCTGCTTCTAGCAATTTGGCTCCTATTTACCATTTTATTTTTATGTTTATGTTTCGTAATTATTAATTTATTAATTAATTAACCCAAGGGCTCTTGGGTATTGCGACATGTTGCGTTTAGTCTCTTTTTATAATAACTGCATAGATCATGTAAATTGATAAGTTAATGCAGAAGGAAAACAATTGGCTCTTGTGAAGCATAAGTGACACAAGTCAATAAATTCTCTAAAATCTTTGTTTTGTTTTCATAAGTTGTAAGAATGTGACTTTTGTACAGAAAACAGTTGCATTCATGTTATATAACTCATACATAACCTCAGTTTTACCTGATGTGGCTTCATTTCTTAATAACTACTGATGTGCAATTGCCTTTGGCTGATACACCTTTCTTCGTTTTCAAAGGCCACCTATGTTTGTACATAGTTTAGTCATTCATATGACCGCCTCTGTGGTCTAATGGTCAGAGTTCCTGGATACAGATCCAGAGGTCCCGGGTTCGATTCCCGGCGATGCCACATTTTCTGAGAAGTAGTGCGTCTGGAACGGGGTACACTCAGCATCGTGAGGATAATTGGAGAGCTATTTCAAGGAAATGGTGGCTCCAGTCTATAAAACCGAAATTAACGGCAGTGGGGATTTGTTGTGCTGACCATGCCACACCCTCTATCTGCTAAAGTTGGCACTAACTTCGCCAACAAGCAGTGGTCGCTTAGTCGGTATAGTTTGCTTGTGGATTAAAACCAGGGAGTTTGTTTGTTTGTTCCCCCCCCCCCATAACCAGTGACATACGAAGGTTGGAACTTTAATAGTGGCAACTATTTATTTACAACTGATACAAAATAGATGCATGTTTCGAAGTTTTACTGTCCTTCAGTGTAGTCACCAGCACTGTGTACAGCCCATTGCCAGCGATGTGGAAGTCATAGGATACCTTTAGCAGCGCCTGTTGTGTTGATAGTTCGAATGGAGCGATCTACTGGCTGAAGAATCTCTGGAACAGTTCTGAAGCGAATGCCACAAAGTGGTTCCTTCATCTTAGGAATCAAGTCGAAGTCACAAGGGCATAAGTCCGGGGAGTATGGTGGATGGTTCAGCACTTCCCAGCCCCATCGATCAAACAAATTAGCCACAGCTTGCGCTGCATACGGCCAAGCATTGTCCTGCAGAATGATGGCTGGGTTCTGCAGAAGGTGTCGCACTTCTTTCTCAAAGCTGGTCGCAGGTTGTGTTCCAAAAATAAACAGTAATACTGTGCATTGACAGCCTGCTGTTGGGGAACGGTATGCATTACACTTCTTCTTCACTGACACTAGAATGACCTGGCTGACGCATGTCTGCTACATTTTGGCTTCCCTCGTTGAAGGCTTTTACCCAACTTGCCAGTGTTCTGTAAGGCAATGCAGATTCCCCCACAAGCCTCTTGAAGACCTTGATGACACTGTCATGCTCTACAGCCTCTGGCACATTCAATCTTTGTCCAACTCCATTGTTCCTGTTTCGAAAACATCGTTACAACACTACATTAAATCGCCAGCTAACACGAGGCTCTGTTCTTCTCGTCACTGCACATGCACATGATTTGGGAAGGGAGAGTCCATTTGCTCTGAGGTAAGGTAGGTACATAACTAACGTGTGGTATAAGCGACATTATTTGGTTCCATTGCATGGTGTCTCTACAGCAGTGTTGCCACTATTAAAGTTCCAACCCTCATATCAGTACATCACTAAATAACACATGTAGATATCTCTGACATTGGATTTACAGATATATGGTCAAAATATCTTTTCAAATTATGTTTGTAGTATAGTAGTATATCTTCCAGTCAAGCATTCAACATTAGCCACATGTTGTTATTATAAGAATCACATCCCGTGTAGTTCATAATGTTGTCTTCTGGTTTATGATACTGAAATCTGGCACATGCTGCCAAACTGCACAGTGTCATAACCCAAAAGACCACATTGTAAATGTTCATTACCATGAAAACCTCAAACATCATGTAACCTTTTTGGTTGCTTGGCAAATTGTGAATTTATTATTTTACTTTGAGATACATATTGTTACATTAAATGTATTAGTATGGCAGATTACTGTGATGTTCTGTATTATTGATGCTAGTAGCTCCATTTTAAACAATTTTATTTCCAAGTTTATGTATGATTTTATGTAATACCCAGTTCTAATTTAACAAGATGTGTTGTATTGCTGGACGTATGTGACACACATATGTCCAGCAATACAGCGCACGCAGCCACATAAGAAAGACACATTGTAAGACATAGTATATACACAATTAAAACATAAGAAGAACGACTCCCATAGCGGATGAATGGCGTTACACACAAGTTTGATATACGACATGTAAGATGATAGATCTTAACAAGTTTTAATATATAAATTTTATTATTGAACAATGATGAACACACATTTTATATCATTTTATAAATGGACACTTAATGGCAGGCAGTGCAATGGTTTAACGTGATTGATACACCTGAGTATGGCAGAATGATGCCGAAACATGTAGTGTGAAGCGACAAGTGAAATTGTATGCGCTAAAAGATGGTAAATATATACACATTATGGATAACGTCTTTAAGTCGGGGAACTGACTAGGCCAAGCCACCAGTTCACTTCTTCCTATCCATCCTCCTTTATAATCTTTGTTCAAAATTCTGTTACCGCTCTGCTGAAATGTGAAGGTGCTCCATCATGTTAAGAGTCCTATTCATCTTCATGTTGCAAGAGGCACATTCTCTAAATGCAGCAGTAATTAATTTTCCATAATATGGAACTGTTAGATGTCCCTTGATAACATGTCCAGATTGTTTCAAAAGAGATCCAGAATCTAATTACTTCTATTTGGCATAAGGAAAAATTACCTGATCAGTGGAAGGAGTCTATTATTGTACCAGTTCACAAGAAGGGTGATAAAACTGACTGTAGTAATTATCGGAGGATATCACTGCTATCAGCCGGTCACGGTAGCTGAGCGGTCTAAGGCATGCACTGTCTTTGCTCGCTCAGAAGCCGGGATCGTGGGTTCGAATCCCACTCAGGGCATGGATGTTTGTGTGCATTTTTCTGTGTTTGTCTACAGGTAGAGGCCTTGCAACGAGCTGATCACTTGCCCAAGGAGTCCTACCATATGTGTAAGATATAGAAAAACCGAAGTGAACGGAGTTCATGGAGGTAGGCCTAGGCCCACTGGGGCTGTAGTGCCAAGGGAAAAAAAAAATCACTGCTATCAACTTCATACAAAATTTTATCCAATATTCTTCTTTCAAGGTTAAGTCCATATATAGATTAAATTATTGGGGATCATCAGTGTGGGTTTCAACGTAACAGATCAACTACAGATCAGAACTTTTACATTCGTCAGATACTGGAGAAAAAATGGGAGTACGATGAGACAGTACATCAGCTATTCATAGACTTCAAGAAAGCCTATGGTTCAGTTAGGAGGGAAGTATTGTACAATATTCTAATAGAGTTTGGGATACCCATGAAACTAGTTAGGTTGATTAAAATGTCTTTAAATGAAAAATATAGTAAAGTCCATGTAGGTAAACATTTGTCTGATAAATTTCCTATCCAGAATGGTCTAAAACAAGGAGATGCTTTATCGCCACTCCTTTTCAACTTTGCATTAGAATATGCCATTAGGAAGCTCCAGGAGACCAGATGGGACTGAAATTAAATGGGACACATCAGCTGTTAGCCTATGCTAATGATGTGAATCTAGGCTCATTCACAAAATTATACACTGTTGGCTTGATCTACCAGTAAGAGGTGTTGTACTCTTTGGAGGTGAGGTGGGTAGAAGGCATCATGGTGGAGAATTCTCCATACCCGTGTCTGTGCTACACCAGTTGAACTGGACATTCTGCATGTACTTATACTTGTGTTTCATTGCACTGCTATCAGAACATCGTCTTCTCCACGCCATCATTGTTCATATTCTGCCTTCGCTCATGGGCAGGTACCAGTCTCCATCAGAGTTCCATGTATGCTTTCAGATGTTTTGCAATGCACAATTCTGCAAAGGGGGTATCATTTCCAGTATTCCACCATTGCAGAAACTGTATACAAAATGTATGTCGGCCTATTCTGCATTTGTAAAGTGCTACAGACATTTTGACTACGGCTAAGACCACAGAACACTAGCCTAGACAGTGTAAAACCAGGAATTCAGTTCCAGCTTGCTTCGCTAGTGCTTAACTTAATAGTGGTGTCAAATTGACCTACAGTTTATTGGGCTTTTCTTTTTCTTGAAATGACCTGTAGAACACACCCCTGTAGTTTTTCCAATACATCACAGAACACACTGGATACATAAGGATATCTGATGAAATGAAATTTTTAGTCTATATTCTACATCAGATGCCCTTTTTTTGACCTGTACGCTTTAATGGGAGCGAAGTGTACAAGAGAGTAGGTGGTGTTTTGTGTATCCACGCCTACACTCGTAATTTTGTCCATTCTGAAGAATAATTCCCCTAATACTGATACCAGAGATGTAAAGCTGAGATATAAGAAGGTAAAAGATAGTTCTGGCCTCCGTTTTGTGCCAGCATATCTAGAAGTTAGGCATTAATGCTCTCAGGAATTTCTTTCATATGTCTGTACATTCTCTGAATGTGGAATGTTTAGAAATTCAGTTCAATTCTTTATTATTTATATGTAGAGCCAACAGCCAAAAGGCCAATTACAGACACAGCACAGTGTAAATACAAGTAGTTACATACTGGACAAACACAACATAAAGTCAAAGACTAATTGAAGGTAATAATAATAATCACAACAATAATGTCAGCCACAGTAGCCGAGCAGTCTAAGGCATGTACTGACTTCGCTCACTAGAATGTGTGGGTTCGAATCTCTCATAAGGTATGAATGTATGGTATGTGTATATGTTTATTCTGTGTTTTTGTTGTCATGTGTTTAGGCAGAGCCCTTGCAACGAGCTGATCGCCCTTCCAAGGTGTCCCACCATCTGTAAAATGATCGTGAAAATGAAAATCAAAGTCCAGGGCCCAAGGGGGCTGTAGAGCCAGTAAAAATAACAATAATAATAATAATAATAATAATTTAATTCATGTTTATTTGCATGCAAACTTAACAGCACAGAAACCAATTACAAAGTTAGCCCGAGTACGTAGAAAGACACAAGAATAATTAAAGAGCAAAATACAAAATATGACAGTCTATTTGACTATTTGAATACTCTTAGTGAAACTTGCATGAAATAGTGTTTAATATATCAGTTTATTGGGAATTATTAAACGTACTAACACGTGATTAGTTAGTTTGTGCCATAATTATGAAAATTTTGAGAATGTAATCAATTTTATATGCCAGTAACTTGATAATTACCCAGTGTAAGGTCTGTACGCTAATTTTATCATAAAATCAAAACTGCAAAAATTTACAAAAGCATTTATTTCACACAGTAAATTGGTACAACAGACATCATACACAGCACAGATGGACTATAG